ATGGAGAACTGAAAAGCGGGTCATTTTGAAAATTTGGCAACCGGGATAAACGACCATGATCTACACTTTAAAAATATGTTTGTTTATGCGGTGTTGCCGCTTCTACTGACGTCAGGTCAGCGTCAGAAAACGGGTGTACGTCATACCTGAACTACTACTACTATCCTAACAGAGTACGCGACGCACAACTGACAACGTAAACGTCGTCATTGGTTCAGGTATCAGGTACACCCGTCTTCTGACGTGAGAAAACGGGTTTTCGTCATACCTATGGTCATACCTGAACCAAAGACGACGTTTACGCTGTCAGTTGTGCGACGCGTACTCTCCCAACAAACCGTACCTTTAGAGTTAGGGCGAATTCTCATGAGCGTGAGTTGACATTTCTGGCGTAATCACGTGATAAAATGGTTGGGTTTTATTGGCAAAATATTTGACATGTTGGATATTTTACCAATTAAATTACATAATATTATCACGTTGTGACAAAATTTGAGATGTTACGAAGAATAAACATTTTGGTAGCGTGAATAATTCTGTCACATCTTAGTTTGCGTGGGTACCATAATTATGCTGTAATTAAATTTATTCTGAAAAGGGATACCAAATTTTCTGAACCGGAGGCAATCCAAACAAAACCTTATTTCTCTTCTTCTTCGGTTTTGGTTAGTGCAAAGGGTTATAAATTCAAGAAGACTTACCTTTTTATTGCCAATGTTGCTTCTCTTCTCAAATGCACAAACCGGCACGAAAGAACTTTTTACGCGTCCACCAGTGTTTTAGAGGGAATTTTAAAACCAGAAAAGAAAAGAGTAATTTTGAAAGATTAAACTAATTTATTTATAAGCGAAAAGAAAAGTCAGTGTTAATTATTTAGTGATAATAAAAAAAAAAGGTTAAGTAAAATATAAAAAAAGACCAAAAAAAAATTACCTTATTTAAGACCATAATTAATTTTTAACTGAAGAAAAATTAAAGACAATTGAAAGCAAAGAGTAATTTCCCAATTAAAAGGTTTAGTTCCCAAATCTGATTCTTTATTGGAATTGAAATTAAAAAAAATAACAACTATCACCTCTTTGGAGAACTTCTACTAAAACACAGGGCGGCAGAACTAGATGATGAGAAACGGATCGAGAACTCGTTGAAACTTTGCGACTTAAATTTCCAGCGATCACTCGTAGTAAAAACTAGTTGCGAATTAGCGATAACTGAAGTTATGTGGCCTCTACATGTGCTTAAATAGGCGAAAGGAATTACCCTCTGGGTACCACTTTAGAAGCCCATTGGCTCCCCTCCGTACCCGGCTTGCTAGAATCGAGGATCTCCAACCCTCTTAGCTTTCAGCGATTCGCTGAGAGTACCCTTTGGTTTCTTGCCGTGTTCCCATTGGTTCTCATATTGTTCATTCTATTTGCACCCTTAGTGATATAGTTTGAAAGCCCTCCAACAGAGTTCGCTAGTCATATGGGAAATATAATTTCGATAACTGCAATAACTGTTTTCCCCTTAATTGGAAAATCCTACATTCTATATGCTTTCTTTTAACCTAGTCAAACAGTTTCTTTGTTTTATAATTATTATATACAGCCTTTAATATGACAGAGCTCATGATAATTATATAATATTCTTCTCAAGATTCCATCTGAATGTAAAATGCTTTAGACAGCAATAATATCCCAAGAAAATATTAGTAAACTAATTTTATAAATGTTTCACATAGCGCTAATAAAACAATTTTATAGATGTACGTCAACTAATGAACTAGTATCAGATAACATCAATATAAATCTAATATAAAACAGATTTGTTCGGTGAGCTAAAATGTCATATAAAATCATTGTGCAAACGTTCATAAAACAATATTAAAACTTGTTACCGAACTGTTTTGTATTTTTGCTCCAAGAACGTTCTTACGACTACCTTATAGAGCAGAGTACTTTCTTGGAAGCTTAATTATCTCGCTTGCAATTTTAATAAAACAAATGGCATTCGACGAGCAGTAATAAACTAATTATAGAATAAAATAGCAGCGGAGAGTTAAAAATTATAAAATATAATTGCTAGTTGAGGTGTTAAATGAATTAAATTATTCTATACTTAAATACTAATTTATGCCTAAAATAATTGGATAGTTAACTATCTCCTTTGATTTTCCTATTCTATACAATTTCGTGTTATTATATCTTGGAAAATCGGGTCTCCGTGATCATTGTTTTAGCCCAAACACATACATGCTTCGAATATAAGTTATCTGACCATAAAACGGGAATTATATCGTTCTTGGGTACTTTATTACAACCATATGTCGTAATCTAGTGCAGCTGCAGATTAGAATCACATTTGGCGTTAATCTAGGAGAACACATAATTTTGCCTAATAAATTTGTCAATTTGGCTTATTTTCGACTTGAAAACTAATAAAACTTGATACATTTGGCTTTAAGTGTTTTTCCTCAATTCTCGACCAGATTAGTTATATCGTTCCCAGAATCGCCATATGTTTGTAAAACCCATTAAGATAAATTTTTATCTATTTCTTAAAACTTGAACCGAGATTTGAAAATTAACATTAATTCTGTTACAAATTACCCTCCCCTTAAGTTCGAAGCATGTTTGTACACTTCAAAACAATAATCACTCCCAACCAAACCTCCAAGATATAACACCTTATCCCGACAATTATAAATACGTAATAAACGAGCGCACACACTCGCGAACTATGGATCACGCGGATTAATTTTTTCGTTGTTCAATTTACAGTTAGGATCACTACACGGCGCGGTAGACTTCGGCAGTATTGGATAAAACGAACTGCTTGATTGTTCCTGGGGGGCGGTAGCATTAACTGACACTGGATTCAATTCATTCTTCTGGTCTTCTTCGTCCCGATTTCTTCTTTGGCTGGCTAACTGATACAAATATGTATGAGCTAAAGTATTCCACAGACTGGCTAAAAGGTATCGTCGGCGTCGTGGATGGTTAACTGTTGCTTCTTTGATGGTGAAATAGTTTGATACGACGCCGGCCAAATAACTAACGGCGCAAACTATGGTGTATAGGAACCCACAAATGGAAAATAAATTTCCCATTTTGGATAAAAATCCCCACACTTCCTCAGCAGCGGAATGTGCTAAATTGGTAAATTCGGTTTTGCTGAACAGATTTGGCATGTAATAAGGGTCTGAGCTATCGAGCGCTATGATCCTCCTGGCAACTTGATTAGTCACTGCTTTTCTGGTATTTGGATATAGGAGAGTTTGCTGGAAGCTTTCCATGTCTTCCTTGGAATAAATTCCATTAGAACTGATAGGGGAGATGGAAATACTTGGCATTGATAGTTTGTCTTCTTCATCATTGGCATCTAATTCTAAAGCGTCGGTGGTGCGCTTTAGGTCAGGTGTTACTTCTAACCAGTTATTTTCCAACTTGAAATTAACCGGAAGTAGTGGTTGACATTCTACTTTGGTTCCATGTTCAACTAGGATGTGAGTAATAGCAGTTCTGTATAGTGATCTATTCAGATAGGTAACGGGAAGTTCTTGATAACATTCTGAAGTCTTCCGATAATCTACGACAACAGCTCTACATTTAGCAATATAGAGTACTTCTCCCATCACTCTACTAACATATCCTGAGGTTTCTTTTACAAGATTACCCACTGCGTCGGGCGATTGTTTTGCCATTGCTAATCTGTTCTGTAATATCTTTTCTCTCAAATGACATCTCTTCATAATCGAGTCGTAGATGACATCAGCCATTTGTCTTTTTACTGCAATCTCCAAATACAACAGTTTACTTAGTACTTGAGCCATCATGTCTGTATTTTGAGGAATTCGAATAGTACGATGGTAATAGAATCCGACTGAATCCTCAAAAATTACAAGTAAGCGGTTTTGTTCAGTTAGCCAAGCCTTTTGAGCACAAATTTCTTCTGGTTTTGTCAGTTTTAAAGCAAAAACTGTATCTTCGGTTTCCACAACGACGTATCTATTAGGTGGGTTTCGACTTAATACAAGGAGAGTAGCGTTTCCTTCGTATAGTACGTCGACACCACTTGTAGAGCATAAACTAGATAGATGTTGTTGCCATGTAACTTCGCCTTCAACATCATCAAAACAATAACCATCATTGTACGGACAGACACCACCAGACCGTAGGGTAACTAGATTTCGTTCGACATCGGCAATCACAACATAATCTTGGAGTTTAATGGATATTGCTGCGGTAACTACGACATTAGTATATTGGATGGAACCCACGGCGAATCTTACACCTTCGCATCGACCATTGGCGTCGGCAAAACCTTGAAGAGTTGCCGAAACTTCTGTGGTCCCATTTAGATTAAGTTTGGAAATAACACCAGCTCCCATTCCTTGGAGGTCTAACTGACGGAATCGGTGAGCCTTCAGACATTGTTCTGGGTCTATGTGCTGAATATATTTTCCAAAACCTCCGGCTACGGTACTGCGATGACTATACATGCCGCAATGATCAATGAGTTGTTGGACAGTAACTTGACAGGTGAGTATATGAATTGGTACATATTGTCGTTTTTGTACCAGCTGGATTCGTCTGAAGTTGGACTCGGAAAAGTTACGAGGGTCTTGGCATGGTTTTACTGCCAGCAAAGACACTTTTGTCAATTCGGTCGCTCGGTCGGCGCAATCATAAGCAATAATCTCTGGGCGTGCTGTCCTCAAATAGTAGAGAAAAATCAAAACAAATTTTATGATTTTCATGTTTCTCTTCTTTCAAATCTAAAACATTCAAAAAAAAATAATTATATATGCTTAACCTAACCGTTTGAATTTGAAACTAAGATTTGAATACATATCAATACTGTCAGTCAACGACTACAATTCGGTATCCAGTTCTCCTAATCTATGCTGATTTCTTGTGCGTCTAGCGATATTCCTCTATACAAATATCAAAAACTGACAACCACAAAACAATAAATACAACATTATTATAACATTTCTACCCTATCCCTATTTAAGTCTAATCCAAGGAGTCTAAAACATAATCTTCAAACCTTTTTGGTAACTGTCTTATTCGTTGAGGTCGAATTTGCTGTTCTAAAGGCTCCGGGTTTCGTATGTTTATAGAAACTTGAGCTACATCATCATTTTCCTCTCGATCTGCATCCAAGGACCTCATAGAATCATTTTCATGATCATCAATTATTTGGTTATCATCATCAACACCATCTCCTGAATATTCGAAGATCTATTCAAGGGATCCGTTTCTGCTATATTTCTATTACTTTCGGTATTTTCATTTTCCAAGACTGACGACATTCTATCAGTTCTGTCTACATTCTCCTCACTTTCATCCGTCACAATTTCTTCTTCACTTTCACTTTCACAGTCTAAAGGAAAATAATTTTCCTTAATTCGATATTTTAGAGGAATATTTGCCAATTGATTACCAGTTTCTTCCGTCGCTAAACATAATTTTAAACGGTTGACATGTACCTTTTTCCTATGTTTTCCATGAACTTCTGTAATTTCTGCATTTACACCTGTTAGTTTACTGATTCTGTATGGTCCGGTCCATTTCTTTGCCAATTTCTTACTGATTCCAACTTTATCCGCTGGTTCGTATAGATAAACCTTATCACCTAGTTTAAATTTATGTGGACTTGCTTTCTTATTGAAGTTATCATGGTATCGCTGAGTATTTCTTTCTATGTTATTTAAAGCATTTTTATGGGCAATTTTCATTCTTTGTAGAAATTCTGAAACATAATTTGTATCGGTATTGTACTTGACCCTTAAAGGTTTAAAAATCTCGTCAAACGGATATTCCATATCTCTGCCAAAGAGTAAAAAGAATGGACTTTCTTCTGTCGTGTTGTGAGTCGCTGAACAGTACGATGCAAGGGCAAAAGGTAACCATTCGTCCCAGTCTCGCTGTCCAGGTTCAATATAATGTGATAACAAATCCTTCAGAGTTCTGTGAAATCTCTCTAAAGCACCATTGGTCTGCGGTCTATATGCAGTGGTTTTGAGATGATTAATTTGTAAATTCTCACAAACACTTTGCATCAATTTTGACATAAAGTTAGAGCCTAAATCCGTTAAAAGCTGATGTGGTGTTCCATGTCTTAGGATAATTCCTTTAATAAAAGCTTTTGCAACTGTTTCTGCTGTTTGATCCGGTAAAGGAAACGCTTCCACGTATTTTGTTAGTGCATCTTGAACTGTTAAAATATATTTATTTCCCTGTAATGTAACAGGTAAAGGTCCTACCACATCCATAGCAATTCTGTAGAAAGGGTATTTGGGAATGGAAAATTTCTGTAGCGGGGCAGGTTTTTGATGACTGGATGTTTTCCGCCTTGCGCATGGATCGCAAGCATTAATATATCGACGAATGTCTTCGGTCATATTTGTCCAATAGAAAAATTTTCTTATTCGTGCGTATGTTTTATCAAAACCCATATGTCCCGAAAAAGGCAAATCATGATAAAGTCGTAGAATATGTGGTATCAAATATTTAGGTGCTAAAAGTATATCATTGTTAGTTCTGTCATTAGAAACTTTGTAAACTAATCCGTCTAAGTCGATGTAGTAATCATTCCTTTTTCCTTGATTAATTTTTTCAATAAGGCTTTTAATATTTTTATCAGCGTATTGTTGTTTTTTAATTGTGTCTCTACACCATATAGGCTCGCACTCATTTTCCTGATGAATTAATCTAATTGGCTTGATTCGCGATAAAGCGTCTACATTTGTGTGTTTCTTCCCACACTTATATTCTATTTTGAAACTGTATTCTGATAAGGCTAACGACCATCGCATGAGTCTATTACTTGGATCTTTTACTGACATAAGCCATTTTAGTGGTTGGTGATCTGTATAAACTGTGAATTCTTGTCCCCAAAGGTAGTTTCTATATTGTTTAATACCCCACAATAGAGCTAAACATTCTCTTTCAGTAGTGCAATAATTTTTCTCGGCTTTATTCAATTGTCTGCTTGCATATGCGACAGGATATTCTTGGCCTTCATATATTTGATGTAATATCGCGCCAATCGCGTAGCCAGAAGCATCTACTGACAAATGGTTTTGTTGGATCTGGATATTTAAGAATTGGTTGATTTATTAGCACTTTTTTTAAGTATTCAAAGGATTCTTCACAATTTTTATCAAAATTAAATTTAACATTTTTCTTAGTTAGGTGTGTCAAAGCTGCGGAATATTTAGAAAAGTCAGGTATAAATCGTCTATAGTATCCAACTAACCCCAAAAATGATCTGATTTCTGTTATATTTGTCGGTTTGGGATAATTTTTAACAATCTCCGTCTTCTTTGGACAAGGTCTTATTCCATTTTTAGATATTATATGACCTAGGTAAGGTGTTTCGTCTTTGGCAATTACACATTTCTCTGGATTGAGCGTTAATCCAGCTTCTCTTAAAGCTTCAAAAATTTCCTTTAATCGAGATATATGTTTATCAATATTTCCTGATGAAAATATTATAATATCATCCAAGTATACGTAGCAATGTGTCCCAATAAATTTGGAAAGAATACACATCATTAATCGTTGCCAGGTAGCTGGTGAATTCACTAATCCAAAAGGCATTCTGTTGCATTCATAATGTCCCCAAGGTACGGAAAATGCCGTTTTTTCACGATCTGTTGGCTCTACTTCTACCTGCCAATATCCTTTCGTCATATCGAGAGTGGAGAACATTTCCGCGCCTCCTAAAGAATCTATAGTGTCCTGGATATGTGGAATTGGAAAAATGTCTCGTTTCGTAATAGAATTCAATTTGCGGAAGTCAATGCAGAATCTAAATTTCTTTTGTCCATCTAGGCTTTTCTTTTCCACTAAAACTACTGGTGCACTCCACGGTGATATAGAAGGTCTAATTATGTCTTGTTCCAACATTTCTTTTATTTGTTTATCCATTTCTTCTCTCATAGCATAAGGTATTCTGTACGGAGCTTGTCTAATTGGCAAATGATCCCCTGTATTGATCTTATGAGTAACCATTTGTGTAGCTTTCAATGACGTATTATCCTTTGCAAAAATATCAGAGTAACTCTGTAAAAATTGCATCATCTTACTCTTATCCCCTCCTTTTAAATGAGAAACCATATTCTCCACAATATGGCCTTCATAACAACTTGTATGAATTTCACTAAACTTTTCACTAACATAATCCGTTCCATCCGCTCCACAGAGAGCATCCGCGGTGGAACATTCTTTCAGCCTAGTCACATCCACCAAATTTAAAATGGGCGTGTTTTTATAAATGGTCTGCGGTATTGGAGAAGTATTCAGAATACGAACTACTATATTTCTATTTTCTTTTGTTGAATTTTCAGGAATTTCTATTACACTACACGCGGTAAGAATACCGACATCTGTATGATTTAATGGTTCACAGACTTTAATGCCTGCAGGGACCCGGGTGTTTACAGGTACATTAAAATCGCAACCGTGGAAAGCAGGTATTTCCAAGTTTTCACGCAATTTTACTACATGTGGTCCTTTAGATAAATGACCACAATTGGAGAATTGCGCATTTCCTCCTGTAGCAAACTGGCGAAATTCATTACTATTTTCTATCTCAGTGTAGTTCGTAGACTGTTTCAGTCTATTATCAATCTGGTGAGTTTCAGGATTTTCGTTAAGATACCCTGTATCTTCCCTATCTTCCTTACTACTCAAAACTATTGGTGGATCAGTCAACTCACACTTATTTTTCCCGTTTCTAGAGGTTGGTACCCCTTTCCCTTTAAATAAATCCACCACGGCCTCACTGCCAGTGGATTTAGTCTCTCTAAAACCATTTACATTAACAAAGTCATTTTCAATAACATAATCATTTTCAATACTCCGGCGACCTCTATAAACGACCTCTGTACCCCGATTCGTTTTTACAGGAAAAATAGTTACCACTTCTTTTGTGATACACGGAGCGTCAACTGCATTACAGCTCTGTACAGCCGCACTGTGACGTCGTTCTAAAAGTTCATTTAACAAGGCCAATCTATAACCACACATATTCATTTCATTCGCATTAAAATCGATCACTGGTTGATAATTCTCTAAAAAATCCATACCCAATAATCCATCTGTCGAAAAACTTAACTCATTTCCACAAATAATAAAATTGTGGCCAATTATTGTTTGCTTACTCCCTAAACTGCTTAAAATAAACTTAATTTCAGTGCTTCCAAAATTTTCTAAAACTTGTCCCGAAATGTCTCTTATATTTATAGGTTTCCTATTTACATTCAATAATCCTAATTTTTGAGCAGAATTTTTTTTTATAAGTGAAACAGACGCTCCACTATCGAGCAGAAAAGACATTTTTGGTCCATCTTCAACATTTAATAAAAGAAATTTTGCATTTTCGGTGTTAATAGCAAGTATGATTTGTGTCTGTCGCTGAGGAACTATTATTTGTTCGATTGGTCCGAGGCTCCCTGATAGTTTAAATAACACTGTGCACGTAAATGACCAGGCTTTCCGCAGTTATAGCACTTTCTAACGTTTTCACGACTCGGAAACTTGTCTTTTAGGCATCCAACAGCCAAATGGTTGCTATCACCGCATTTATAACATCCTGCATTCCTTTGATTGCCTTGTGGGTTTTGATACCGGTTTGGTTTCTGGTTGAAATTATTATTTCTCTGAGGGTAAAAGTTCCTACTCCGAAAGTTATTACCATTTTGAGTTTGTTGCTTATTATAGGAGTTATACGGGGTTCTAGTTTCCTGTTTTCTTTCGCTGCAGTCTTTGGGTACAGCTCCTTTAGTTGCCTCTTCATTTATAACCCGTATTGCGGCTGCATATCGATCTTCGTAAAGGTTTCCTGGTAATTGTTTTGAAATAGAGTTCTCGTACTTTTCGGCTACGGCCAGTACCTCTTCTACTGTGTAAAAATCTCCCTTCTCTATTATTTTGTTTGCCAGACGCAAATCTATTCCCTGTATGAATTGTTCAACTAAAACCTTTTCTCTGTATATCCGTTGTGATTGACTAGTTCCTTCGTCTGGAAAAGCTTCTGTAGAAACTCTCCTAAGTCTCTGGACGAATGCACCCAACGATTCATCAGGTAACCTGACACTGGTCAAGAGTTTTCGTTTAGCTTGAATTTGTTCAGTTTTTCCTCCAAATAGTCTGCGTAGCCACGTACTTATTTCGTATACGTTTTCCGGACGTTCACTTTTCCTCAATGCGTAAAACTCTTCTTTTGCTTTTCCTTTCAATTTTTTCACCATGGTACGAAATGTTTCTTCTTCGGTCCATCCTTTAATCGTAGCGGCATTCTCAATGGCTTCTATAAAAGCTTCATAATCATTAGCTCCCACATAAGGATCAATCGATTCCAAAATATCTTCATCTTTGCGTAAAATCTCTCGAATTGCTTGTAAATCATTTAGATTTATATGTCCAGCGCTAGCCTCATGGGATTTTCCGTCTGAATCTTTAAATTGTTGAATTGAATGGAGTATGTTTAATTTTGTTTGTTCCTCAAGTTGCAATCTCATATTTTCGAGCTGGTCTCGTAAGGCCTCTGTGATACTTTCCGAATTTTCTTTTGGTGAATTACAGTTTTCGTGCTCGTTCGGCATGTTTTTTTTTTTTATAAAGTAAAATTAAGTTATTTCTTGAGTCAATAAATATAAAAAAAAATTAAGCGATTTAAAATATTTTGGTTAAGTTTCTCGACAATAATGCGAAAGGATTGGTTCGGGATTTACTCACACGCGGGCACACACACAAAACTAACTAATATTCAACCTCTTAACTCAATAAATACCTCCGATAATACGTCCTTAACAACTTACTTTAGTACTCTTTTTCTACGTGGGTTAGAAAACCCTATACGCCCAATTCGGCGAAACTCGGCCGCTCGTTTTATTTGAACTCTATATATCGCTAGACCCACTCGAACGTACTCAATTTCTATTCCTAATTTTCTAGTGCCTAGTAATTAGAATAACGGTAAATAGCTTAGGTTTTACCTTTTTTTTTCCAAAAATAAAATATTAATTTTATTTTTCCTAGAATTTTCCTCAGAAAATTATTATTTATAGGTACCCAATAAGTAACTCCTTGTTGCTTCTTTTCACAACTTATCTGCTTTTCATGTAGTGAGATCCGCGATCACCACTTTCCTAAAATTAAAACTTATCTTGACTTATTCAAAATGAATAACGATCAGAAATCCCTTTACTTTTAGCGTTGTTTTAGTTAGTCAAGTTCAAGCAATAACCGTACTATAAAATAAAAGGTAAATCTGGTTAAATACCTATAAATACACCTCTCTAAGGGTTAACTAACCGAACTTGACGCAACAATACTACCCAAAATAATAGTTACAGTGATTCCTTCCTAAATTTATTGTGCATTTATATAACCCATTGTGATATTGCTTTTTTTACTACTGTACCTACCTTATAGATAATATTATATTTTTTTTTTAATGATTAAACGACCTAATTCTTCGAAACTAAAATAAAATCCCAACTATACCTACGATTATGAGTTATTAAAACAAAGAATGTGAATATTAGTATCAACTGAAACATCAAAATCAATATTAAAACTGTTAGATGACACAGTTGTAAAATTTCACATTGTCAACATAGACATAGACACAGACTGTAAAATTTGTTTCCAAAATATGCTCAATAATAAAACGTGCCAGAAGATTGACCATATTTTTAATTCCAAAAATTTAACAAACTTCAAATAATCGCAAAACTGCAATTAATAACCATTGTGCTTCTTACATACGCAAAAAGACAAAACTAAACGACGGTCAGCAAACCAATGGAAACAATTTGGAATCATCTTCAAAATTTTGAAAGAGAACATTGAATCAGCTAATTTTCTTGATAACGCTATAAATCACCAAATTTAAGTCAACTCAGAAATTAACTCATAAATTGATAATATTTACACCCCAAAAGAAAAATAAAGTAAATCATAATAATATAAATAAGTAAACATATAACTAATAACTTCACCTACCGATAAATTTTCCTGAAAGAAAATAATAATTATTATTACCATCCTATACTAAGCAAATATCGCAATATACCTAGTTACATTCTGTACATTATACAATGACGCGAAAATGCACAAATCACGTCAAGGGAGTTATCACCAATAAAATGTTAGTTTCACCACAACTGATTCATTCCTGTTGTGATCACCAATTACCTTTACCTAATAATTTTTTTCTTTATAAACAATAACAATAACATAAAATTCACAACAAAAATAAAACCATGTTAGTAACTAAACAAATATGCAACGTCGTTCTTGAATTCTTCATCTTCCTGGGTGCCTCCGATTCTTTCTTTTATCTTATTTTCTTTATTATTTTTTTTTTTACTTTCTTTTTAAAACGTACCGATTCAATCCTTATCATAATTAGAAAAACCCTTTTCGCATAATTCGATCTATCAAATGACTTCTTTGATCTCATGGTCATCTCGACAAGATAAACTCTCTAAGATCCTAAATTGTTCAAGATTTCTTTAAAATAAAAATAATAATGCTTATCTATTTCCGTGAAATTAGGTATTTAAAAATAAATTAATTTCGTCAAAATCAATATCGGTAATATGGAAAATAAATTGAAAATTTGATGGAAATATGAAGAGTTTTTGAAGGAAAAGAAAATCTCAAATCCCTTAAGCTGCACACCAATTATTTATGTGACAAAATTTGAGATGTTACGAAGAATAAACATTTTGGTAGCGTGAATAATTCTGTCACATCTTAGTTTGCGTGGGTACCATAATTATGCTGTAATTAAATTTATTCTGAAAAGGGATACCAAATTTTCTGAACCGGAGGCAATCCAAACAAAACCTTATTTCTCTTCTTCTTCGGTTTTGGTTAGTGCAAAGGGTTATAAATTCAAGAAGACTTACCTTTTTTATTGCCAATGTTGCTTCTCTTCTCAAATGCACAAACCGGCACGAAAGAACTTTTTACGCGTCCACCAGTGTTTTAGAGGGAATTTTAAAACCAGAAAAGAAAAGAGTAATTTTGAAAGATTAAACTAATTTATTTATAAGCGAAAAGAAAAGTCAGTGTTAATTATTTAGTGATAATAAAAAAAAAAGGTTAAGTAAAATATAAAAAAAGACCAAAAAAAAATTACCTTATTTAAGACCATAATTAATTTTTAACTGAAGAAAAATTAAAGACAATTGAAAGCAAAGAGTAATTTCCCAATTAAAAGGTTTAGTTCCCAAATCTGATTCTTTATTGGAATTGAAATTAAAAAAAATAACAACTATCACCTCTTTGGAGAACTTCTACTAAAACACAGGGCGGCAGAACTAGATGATGAGAAACGGATCGAGAACTCGTTGAAACTTTGCGACTTAAATTTCCAGCGATCACTCGTAGTAAAAACTAGTTGCGAATTAGCGATAACTGAAGTTATGTGGCCTCTACATGTGCTTAAATAGGCGAAAGGAATTACCCTCTGGGTACCACTTTAGAAGCCCATTGGCTCCCCTCCGTACCCGGCTTGCTAGAATCGAGGATCTCCAACCCTCTTAGCTTTCAGCGATTCGCTGAGAGTACCCTTTGGTTTCTTGCCGTGTTCCCATTGGTTCTCATATTGTTCATTCTATTTGCACCCTTAGTGATATAGTTTGAAAGCCCTCCAACAGAGTTCGCTAGTCATATGGGAAATATAATTTCGATAACTGCAATAACTGTTTTCCCCTTAATTGGAAAATCCTACATTCTATATGCTTTCTTTTAACCTAGTCAAACAGTTTCTTTGTTTTATAATTATTATATACAGCCTTTAATATGACAGAGCTCATGATAATTATATAATATTCTTCTCAAGATTCCATCTGAATGTAAAATGCTTTAGACAGCAATAATATCCCAAGAAAATATTAGTAAACTAATTTTATAAATGTTTCACATAGCGCTAATAAAACAATTTTATAGATGTACGTCAACTAATGAACTAGTATCAGATAACATCAATATAAATCTAATATAAAACAGATTTGTTC